AGTTTGTTTTCCAAATTTTAATTAAAATTTTAACCATTTTGAAAAAAAAAAGCTCAATTTTTGGTCATTTTTAAAATGAAGAAAACTGGAAAGCTGAAAGAAAAACAGAAGAGAGTGAGCATAACAGAATGTTTCTCTTCCAATATACCAAGTAATTTTCACATACAGTTTTATAAAAGCACATTTTTAATTATTTTTAATGCAGAAAGTTCTTAAACAGACCTAGCATAAAATTTTTGTGCCTTTTTTTTAACAAAAAATGAAAAAAGGATCGACTGTTGTAAGTCTTTTCAAAGCCTTGATTAAAATTTAAAGATTTTTTTTTTAATTGATATCTTGCAAAGCAGTAACAAAATATGGCAAATACCCCCACCACTCCCCAAGGTTTCTAGTGTGCAAATACTGTCTGTAGCTTACATAAACTTCAATGGCAGCTGTGCAAATAAACTTGCCTTTTAGTGTTATGATACACGATATGTCACAGTACAAGGCAAAACAAAAAAAAATACAGTAACAGCATCAAGAAATATTTCATCTAAGCTGATTAAGTTCACAGTTCTGGTGCAAATCTGGAAGTATATCCAGTATCTAGGGTGCATATAACTTATTTCATTGTTTTTTACTTGGATTCCATTTGAACACTTTGTTATATGCTTATGTCTGATTTTTCTTATTCGTTTACTTATTTTGCTCTCTGCTGTCTGTTTTTGCTTTATAGTTCAGGCTTTTAGTAGCAGAAGATACTACCTTGACAGACCTTCTGGGACTCCAGCTTCATAAAGTAGAAGATGAAGTCCAAAGTATAGTTGACAACGCCGTGAAAGAGTTAGGTACTGAAAAAGTGAGAGGTGCCCATTTTTTTCCTTCTGTTTTTGCATTTGTTTGATTAAGTTCTGTTTCAAGAAATTAATGATAGAAATGAATATTTTCATGTGACTTAGCTAGGGAGCAAAATTCACAGCCTAGTGAAACTAACTTACTGTCTGTGGTGTAGTTCACCATCACTGTGAATTAAATAGAATTTAATTAAAGTTCTCAACTCAAAATATGAAATGTGATATGTATAGACAGATGTTATTACTACTCTTCTTGTTCCCAGATTTTGGCAGATATCAGCCAAACATGGGCTGCCATGGAATTTTCTTATGAAGAGCATCACAGGAACGAAGCTCCTTTATTAAAGTCAGATGAACAGCTGCTTGAACCTTTAGATAACAATCAAGTAAGGATTTAATTAATAGAAATACTATTAGTATATCAATATTATTCACTCCCTTGATACACTTGGTTAGTTAAAACTCTTTTCCTGAATCTTTATTGCAGAGTTATGTTTTCCCCAGATGTTAGAGCTGGGAAATTATACGTATGCTATGTAACTATATATATTCTAAAAAATTTCCTGTCTCCATGTAGGAGTTAACAAAATTACAGCTTTCTAAGCTTATATTTTCTTAGATTTTTTTAAAAATCATTTAATAATACGCTGTCCATTTGCAGTGTTTAAAGATGTCTTCTGTTATGATATCCGATAATAACAAGTTACAGGAGAATTTGTTAAGCTCTTATTAGCTCAAGTTCCTCTGTTTGATAAATTATTTTGATGAGTGCAGTTTTTCGCTGCTTCTTGGTTTTCTAGGTTCAGCTGCAAACAACTTTGAAAAGTAAATACATGGTATATTTCACTGAACAAGTGAAAGGTTGGCAAAATAAGTTAAACATGGCAGATTCTGTCATTTCCGTTTGGATGGAAGTTCAGCGCACGTGGTCTTATCTAGAAAGTATTTTCACTAGCTCTGAAGATATCAGAAGCCAGCTGCCTGAAGATGCAAACAGATTTGATGAATTCAACAGACTTCTAAGTTAGTAGAGTTAGTGTTTTATGTCCATTTATATCTTGCATTTGAATTATTTAGAATGGGTAATTAAATAGATATTTTTAAAATAATACCATATTGACAGTTTAGTTTGAGTATTTCTTTGATAGGCTTGTTTCTAACCCACTGAATAAACATTATTACGGGAGTCTCAGGCTTACTTGGGAGAATATCAGAAGTGGATTTTGCGTTCTTTATTATTAAAATCGGAGTAATTATTTGCCTTGTTTTCCTTTTGCATGGACTGGCAGCTGCTGGTTGACACGTTGTCACAAAACCATGATTTGTGACGAAGTTCTGCAGGTCATTCCTTCACATGACTTTAATATCTTCTTTTATTTAGTCTTTGTTAGCTTTTAACCTCCTGGACTCACATAGCGATATGATACTTGTCAGGTAGAGAAATCCCTTCTGCTAAACTCCATATCATTTAGAACAATGATAGTTGAAATACAAGTTTATGGTCTATTAGTTATTATTGGCCAAACGTAATTACAGCAATCAACCTAAACGTTTGAACTTACACAAAATATCGTGCCTTAATTGTTCATTCTGACCAAAACTGTCTCTGAACCCTTGCTTAGTAAAGAGACTAACTTGTGTGTTACCAATATACCTGTAATTCAATCCACCTATGCCAGGGGAAGTTCTCATTATGTACAGTTCTGAAAAGCTGAGATATAATAATGTTCTTTAGGGAGGTTCTACGTTTAAAATTTCAAATACATTTCTAATTGTTTAAATCTGCAATTTAAACAATGTGGGCAGCAGCATGTCTAACTATATGCCAAAAAAAAAAAAAAAAATCTATATTCACACCTTTATATGAGTTGAGAACCCTGTTAAGAACAATGGAATTATTCATACCATTTAACATGCATAAGTTTCTCCATGGTGCATGTTGCAAAAGGCATTGGGCTTGCACGCATGAGCAGAATTATTGTACAAGTTAATGTCTCCGTTACGATCTGTCATTTTTACCTTGTTAGAAGAGTTCTAATAGTATAATCAGTGGTATTTGCTTTCCTCCAGTGCAGTTCTCTCTGTTCATTTTACATTTCCTTCATGTTCAGTCTAAACACTGTCAAAATAGCCCTTTGTGGATTTTTTTTTTTCTTTTTCTTTTGCTGTTTAAGAAATAGAACCTAAATCAAGCTGATGAGGTGCCTTCTTCCAGCTCTTTTTCCCAGTGCTTTTCTCGTTCCAGTACTATAAACAGGACGAAGTAGAAAAAAAATCTGAGGGGAATTCCACATGTTGCAATAACCTCCTCGCACTTCTGCACAGGAGTTGGTGACTGACATAGTAAATACAAAAAATGTGATGGAAGCTACAACCGAGCCAAAGGTGTATGAAAAATTGAAGCTTTGCAGCACAGGTAAAACTTCCAGTATGATTATGAATTGTTCTAAAGTGTAGTTCTGGAACAGTCAGGAAATGAGAGCTGTCAGGTCACGCTTGCTTTTTGTACAGATGTGAGATGATCTGATGATATTACTTTTGTCATTTGTTTCTATTTGACATTGGATTTTTACTGCTTTTTATAGGATCAATTACATTTGAGGCATTGGTTCATTATTTATGGATTGCATGATGTAAAAATTGTCAAAGGTCTTAAAAATATGTTCAGTTTGGATCAAATTCATTTTCTCCCCATCCACAACCTGGGAGCTGGGAGTCTTTCTTTCACGCTTACAGCAGGAGATAGTGGATTGTGTACAGCAAAGGTCCTCCTTCAACACACTTAAAGGTATGCCTTGAATTTCCCACTGACGTTCACTCCTGTAGAGGCAGTGATATTTGGACCACAGCCTGTTTCTCCTTGCAGGAAAAAGTAGTAATAGCAAGTTAAAAAAAAAACAAACCCACAAACCTGTTTCTTGAGATGTCACTTTTGTTATGAGAGATACCAAGCTAATAGCTAAAGTGCATCAGTCACACGTAAATAAATGTGTGTTTTTCCTCTCCAGATAGGCATGTAATTGAGTATTTTGATTCTTAATACTTTTTGTGTCAATACCAACATGTGTTTTCATGTTTGTTATCCTTCATACATAAAAGAAAATGTGTGCATCTTAAGAAAAGTGGTTTCTTTGCTCCCTCATTAGACTGTTTCTTGGCGCCTTTTTTTTTTTTTTTAATTTATCTGCAAATAACTGCCCTGTCAAGTAGGAAATTTTGTTCTTGTCCCTTACTTTCTACGGCTGCACTCTGGAAGGTTGAAAGGGGGTTTCCGCTTAGCCAAACTTTTGGAACTTTCAGACTTTCAGGGACTTTTCTGGCACCATTCTGTTCTCTTGGGTTCCTTGGTCTGAATGAGTAAAAAGAGCATATTCTGTTTAGGTTTCTGGAAAGGAAATGTGTAAGGTTTGCTGCCTTATCTGTTCCTTACAGTTGTATTCATCGTTATTATTTTAAATCAAAAGTGGATTGTATTGTTCTGTTTTACTCTTCGGTCTGATTTCTTACTTTAACTGAGAGGGAATTCTGGGCTTTAGGGTGATTAAAGGCACGTAATATTAAAATCTCTGTGTTCTTTTCAGACTTTCTCTTTGTGAAAAAGCTCTGGCTGAATATTTAGAAACCAAGCACATAGCTTTGTCTCGCTTCTGTTTTGTTTCTTCAGCAGACTTGCTAGACATCCTTTCAAAAGGAACACAGCTAAAACAGGTGAACGTCCTTGCCTAATATTGTACTTCATTTTGTCTACAGAAAGGCAAGTTTTCCAGCTAACCATGTGAGGAGATAGTACCGTAGAACTGCATCTTTGTTTCTGAGTGTTAATTTACTTTACAAATAGGAGCACTTTGTGTAAAGAACGTAGTAAACATTTTCCCCCCAGCTAGGACAAGTACAAGGTGTTTAGCAAGGAGAGATGAAACCATCATCCTGAGGAGAAGTGTTACAAATCCTGTGCTGTCTCTTGCTGGAAATCTAGCTATGTGCAATTTGCATTTATTTGGATGTTTGGATTGTAGGTTTGCAGGAATTAGAAATGGAGAAGGTCAATGAGATCATCAAATCTATTCTGCTTCTGGTGCTGACTCATCAAACTTCAGGCATGCTATGCAGAGTGACGATAAGTAAGACTGAAAGATCTATGGTCTCTGTTAGGCTGTTTCTGACTGAGCTGCTGACCATTGTATGAGGAATGTTTTTGTAGCTATCCTTCTGTTTTCCTCCCTGGAACAATAATCTGCTAGGTTTTGTGACACTTTGAGACCAGTTTGTATAAAAGCACAGGCACTTTGATGTATTTCAGAAGATTTATACTGTGTTATCTACATGCCAGATGATACTCCTGGCCTCAGTGACTATCCAGCCACGGCCATTAATTCTCTGAGTGCTAGAGTTATTGGTGTGTCTCAGGCAAAGCCTTTTTAGATGCGATGTGACATGTAACAGAAGAACTGATACTTTCCAAGAAGATGGAGGGCTTGTGAGGCTTGAACACTGAGCCTTTTCAGACATGATGACGGAGTGTCATAGCTTCTTTACATAACTGAGTCTCAGTGACTTCTTTCATCCACTCCTTGCTCTGCACCAGATATAAGAACAACAACCAATCTTCTGTTCCAGTTATCAGGCATAGAGCATGCTGGTGTGTAGACAGTGATCTTCAAACTCCACGGTCTCTGGAGAGGTGTGTAGTAGTTACAAAAGGCATTTAGACCTGAATCGACAATTTGTGAAATAAGTACTAGCCATAACTAATAACAATTTCAAGACTTCTTCATTTTATATTGAGCTTTGTCCTCCAGATTCTTCTGATGACTGACAATAGTGTAATTAACCCCAGCTTTTCCCATAAAAACCTCCTGTGTAGTGATCATGCAACAGAGAGTCAGATAGCGTCACCGTGTCAGCCTGCGCCACCAGGGAAATCAGAAGTACTCTTATTATTTGTTCAATTGGCATAAGTGTTCTAATACTATGGAAAAAACTGGTTTCTAATATTTTTTATTGTCTTTAAAACTTAAGAATGAAATGTTGATTAATCACCTGGTCATTCAGTGCATCTCACTTGCTAAGACCAGTTGAAACACTATGTACTGAAAGCATTAGAATAAGAAACACAATTGTAAGATTAGTGCAAGGACTTCATGTTATCCAGTTAGTTGCTAAAAACTGTGTTAAATTTTGCTGAACCACAAAATCTTATTGTATATAGCAAATGTTAACATGGCAGTCATCCACTTTAATAGAAATATGTGTTAAAAATAGTGTGATTGACACAAATCTAAGGTAAATGGTTTCCTTATATGTCTGGTATTTTTGGGTGCAGGTAGCCCATCATCTTACCAAACTTTTTGACAACATTGCTGATCTTAAATTTCAAGAGAATGTAGAGGAATCTGTAAATACTGCCCTTGGGATGTACAGCAGAGAAAAGGAGTATGTTCCATTCTATGAAGGGTGTGGATGCAGTGGTCAGGTATGTTGAGTTACGTGAAACTTCCTTTATGGATTTTTCCCTCTTTGGGATGTAGATTAAATAGACGCTTTCAATGGCATGAAATGTTGCTTTTAAAAATGTAAATTTAGAAAAAATAATAATAAAAAGCCCCTTACAACTATTTTTTCCAAATTTCAAAACATTTTGTGGCCCAAAACTGTGTAATAAACTAATAACTTAATAAATTGTCTAGCTGCCCCTTGTATGTAAATTTTTTGGGGGTTTTTTGGTGGTGGTGTTTGGTTTTTTTTTTTAAGAAGTGTAGAGAGATAAGTATTTAGGAGCAATGAAAAAGAAAAAAAAAACGTACTAAAAGGCACAGAACTGATGAAGCCTGTGGTTGAATGTTGCATTTCTCATACTTCTTCTCTTCGTCCGCCCTTTTATTTCACCTTCCATTACACTTTCAGATCCCCTCCTCTCTTATCCTTTGGCACACACCTCTCCAGACCTCCAGCTCTCCCCCGTGTCCCCTATCAGCTGAACAGGGTTGTAGCTGTTTTTGAGCCTCATATTTGCTAATTGGCCAGCCAGTATGTGTGCTAACTGGGTAGTGGTAGGTCAGAAAGAACAGATCAGCAGCTTCTGAGACAATAACGTATTGTTCTCAGAACAGTGCTGAATGGATAAGCATTCACATTGCATAAAATCAATGTTGCATGTGGTTCTAATGATTGATTGTCTCAGCAGGGAGGCCCCAGACTGAATGGACAAATATATGCAGCTTGCCTCTTAGAGATAGTTTCTCCAAGATACAGCTACGTTTGAGCGCATAGAGACATAGGAAAGACTGTATTGTCTGTGTTTACTCTGTGTCTGTGAACAGAAAAACTTCAGACTTTCATATCTGGAGCTCTAAGACAGTATGCCTGTGTGAAGTCAAATGGATATGTAACACAAAATAATGTCTGGTATCTCAGTAATTGGGAAGGGCTCCTCTGAGCTAAATCCTACTGAAGAGGCAGTAGGAGAGAGAAAATGGAAGAAAAAAACCTATTTTCATTTCAAGTTTGTAAAGAATGTTGATGTAAAGAAAATCTTTTGTAAAGATTAATGGATGAGCTTCCTATATTGTTAGTATAAACTGTACCATTTATGTTACATGCATAAATTTATGCACGTTTGGGTTTTTTCCTTCAAAAGGTAGAGTCTTGGTTGCAATACCTTGAGGAAACTGTTCACAAAACAGTGCGCCTCTACATCATGGAGGCGATACTGACCTATGAAGAGAAGCAGAGAGAGCAGTGGGTCTTTGACTACCCAGCCCAGGCTGCACTTACTGGTTCACAAATCTGGTGGGTTTCAGATGTTGAAATGGCATTCAGTAGGCTGGAAGAGGGCTCGGCATCAGCCCTGGAGGATTGCCACAGGAAGCAGGTATGGATATCTTCTTTTTGTTTAATTCAGTGAAAATAAGTACAGTGTGAAAATGGTCTCATAAAAAGAGATTAATGGCATATCTAGTGATTTCAGTCCCGTAGTAAATTAACGGCTTTTAGCACCTACTGAAAAAAGAAATACACCTTTTGCTTCCATTTCTGTTATCTCATGGGCATTGTTATCACATTTTAATTAGTGGGGTTTCTGTAGGATTATTCTGGACTGAGATGAAAGGTAAAAGCAAAGATACTGCCAAACATCAACAATGATGGTGTGACAAGAACAGAGTACGCAACCGGTACATATACAAATACTAAACACATATATTTGTGTAAGGAAGCCAAAACTGTTGGTTTTATTTGTGTCAAACCAAACAGTTTACTTCTAATATTATTAGTTTTAGTCCCACTTCAGGAGGGTACATTCTGCAGTTTGATTTTTTGCTTTGCCCTTGTTTACCTCCAGCTCCTTTTGAATGTTTTTGTCCTGGTGTGAGTATTGTTCCTCTTTGTGAAAACTTTAAGTAGTTTTGGCTTTCTTTTCCAACCTAGAAAATCTGCTGAAGTGAAATATGAAATAGGAAAGAGACTTTTAAGGGGGAGGAAAACTGATAGAGGTGTCTAAAATGACCCCTGTAATAGAGAAGGTGGATAAAGGTTAATCTTTGTTTGCCGTTTCTCATAATACAAGAGCTAATAGGCACTACCTGAGGCTACTAGGTAGCAGACTTTAAACAAAAGAAATACTTTCACACCGTGTACAGTTTAAAATATGGAACTTTCGGCTAGAGAATGATGGAAGTATAAAAAAGGTCAAATGAAGGGTTAGCCAAATTTCAGTCCAGTTCATGGCTGTTAAATATGATGATAAAATAGGTAGCATAGTTTTGGGGGTTTGGGTTTGTTGGCGTGGTTCTTTTTTGTTTGTTTAGTAAATTTTGGCTGCAGTGTCTGTGGCAAATTATGGCATATGTTCCCAGGATATATGTATCCTTCTCCTGGACTTGTTTTTTACGTTCCTTTTTTTTTTAAAAAAAAACAATCTCTGCTAGCTTCTGTGAAAGGCAGACACAGATCCACGATGAACCTCTACGTGACCCAGGCAGGCTATGTTTCTGTGGCCACTTCGCAAGTAGAGCAGAGCGCTGCCTTGTGCTGTTGCTGCTTCCTGAACCTGTGGTGGGGACTTTGGAGTGGTTTTGCTGTAAAAAGGGTGGACTAGGAAAGATCATCCGAACCTCTCTGCAGATGGCACCTCATTGCCATAAAGAAGTGGAGCTTTGGGTGTGTTTAAAGGAAGATGCCAGAAATGTTTCGGGATGCTAGGCAATTTCATTCAGAATGTTGCTATTGGTATCGCCTTTATGATATGATACAGAAAAACTAGGGAGCCCAGTGAAAGTACCTTCTGGTTTTACTTTTGTAAGCGTTTTCAAAATCTACTAGGGCTTTAGGCTGTGATTCTCAAATAATTTGTTTGCATGGAGTATTACCTTCTGGGCCTTTAACTCTGTCTCAGTAAAAACAGCACCAGCAGGTGTTTTTGTATATTATATAAAAATAATAAGAAAGTGTGAAGATGCCAGAAATGTTTCGGGATGCTAGGCAATTTCATTCAGAATGTTGCTATTGGTATCGCCTTTATGATATGATACAGAAAAACTAGGGAGCCCACTGAAAGTACCTTCTGGTTTTACTTTTGTAAGCGTTTTCAAAATCTACTAGGGCTTTAGGCTGTGATTCTCAAATAATTTGTTTGCATGGAGTATTACCTTCTGGGCCTTTAACTCTGTCTCAGTAAAAACAGCACCAGCAGGTGTTTTTGTATATTATATAAAAATAATACAGAAAGTGTAGTGTTTAATGTCTCACTAATTCACCGCCCGTTTTTAAGCCAGAGTTTTAAAACGTGTACAAGCATAGTTTTGTCTCACACTAGCTACCCGATAAGTTACATCCTTCTAACAAAGTTACATTTGCCTCCTTAGAATTACATGCAGTAGCTGTGTATGTTTTTCTTTCCTATTAATATGAAACCTGAAAAATTCCATTGGGTCTTTCTACTATGTAACTCTGTATAATCATTCATATCATATTTTGTGATCTTCCCTTCATTGCTTTGCCTATTTTTAAAACGTAAGTCACTGATCTTTCCTAAAGTCTATTTTCAAACAGTTTGCCAATAAATGTTCTCATGCAAGTAGTACAATTTTTGTGGAGTCTGGTGCATACCTCTATGGAGATTGTAACCACAAAATTTACAATTCAACTTCATGCACATCTTCTTATCCACCCATTCCTCCTACCCTGCCTAGCTGACCATCTTCAGTATTTGTGCTCATCTGGATTGTCATTGTTTTGGAGGTGGTTCAAATGTCTGTTTAAACCAGGATTTCTTCTGACATCTCAAGTTTAATATCAGTAAATTTGTACATACAAGCCAGTTTTTGTGGTGATTTAATTAATAACGTAGGCAGAACTAATTTCTAGTAGCAGTAATGGTAGATGGTACTGGGATCCATCTGATCTTAGAGGGTTACCTAAATCTTTTCAGGTCATTCAGCTAAACGCTCTTATTACCGTGCTGCTTGGAGAACTTTCCTCAGGTGGTCGACAGAAAATCACGACCATTTGCACCACAGATGTTCATGCTAGAGATGTTGTAGCAAGCCTTGTAGCTCAGAAAGTATGTGTTTGGATCGGCTGTATTTTACATGCACAGTTTTAGTGGTTTTGACAAGAATTAATAGTACTTAAGCCAAGTTTGGGTCTGGATCTGCATGTGGGCACCAGGATGGTGGAGGTGGAGTAGGTATAATGATGAAGGCAGCCTGCTTCAGACCTGTGTGCTGTGCCTGCATTTTTATGGGTTACTGCCTTCTGAATTTAAAGTTTTCCTGAACAAAAGTCAGGTGTCATCTTTTACGCCACTGCTAGGAACCATTCAAACTTTCAGTAGGTTTTCTATGAGCAGCAAGATATTTCCTTTAAATTTCAGATCACAAAACTGAGTGCAGACAATCCTTGGGCAATCTGAGTGTTTTTTCCAAATGACTTTAGTTATTCTGCTTTTAATTATTCCATCTTCAGTTGTTCACAGTGTGTTTTGCTCTCCTTTTAGAGGCATACATGTGCATCTCTAGAGCAAGGCACTCCTCTCCTGTGGTGACTCTTTATAAGTGCATGCCATTACAATTTTGAGTGTTTATTTAAACCAAAGTGCTTGCCCTATGTATAACTTTGTTCAGGTAAAACTAAGGTGGCTGGCACATGTTGCTGGTTTGAATGCACAAAATGTTTCACTGGATGGGTATTGAAATAGGAAAGAATTCCTATTTTCCTTCTGACCTCCTAAGCCTCAGAAATAAAATGGGTTTCTAAGATGGCATTAAGACAAGAAACAAGGCTTGAGGAGTAAAATGAAACTCCTTCTGGTCGAAGTAATGTCTGCTCCCGTGCGAAGACTGCATTGTTTGTAAGGAGAGGTCTTGGCTTAATAAGTGGCAATGTGTTCTGCTGTAATAGCTCTATTAAAAAGATCTTATATTACACTTGAATGTGTATAAAAGCACAAATGCCTCGAGGTGCATCTAATCCTTTATAATTGGTTGTAATAGTTACTATTCATAAACCCCTAGGAATGAGGTGTGAGACCTACTGATGACAGCTGTAGCTTTGTGATGGGTCTCATTTCTTTCATCTGAAGAGCTCCTACCCAGCGTAACAGCTCTGCAATGGCTTTTTAGGTCACCAGTTCCCGAGCTTTTGCTTGGCTGTCACAGCTACACCGTAGATGGGATGACACCCAGAAACACTGTTTTGCCAACATGTGCAACGCTCAGTTTCAGTACTCTTATGAGTACTCAGGAAATACCCCTCGGCTAGTTATTACACCTTTGACTGACAGGTAAAGACTTACTAATAACAGTGTCTGCTTTATCTGTTTCACTGAATAAAAAGTTAAATGTTTCTTAGAAGTTCAGTGTTCTTTCATACCTCATGTATTTTATAAGGTTATTAAGGCACAATATCTCTGAACATGTGTGTGCATGTAGGTGTGCATACTTAAGTAATGGTATGATTTTAATGTCCATTACTTTAAAAATAACTGAAATATTTCTTGCATAACTTAAAGGATATATTCAGTGTCTAGTCTGAAGAAGAATATGAGTGGATCTGTACCGAGGTTAATCAGGAGTTTTCAGCAAAAGAATTTTTCTGTGTGTGTGTTTAAAGTACAACCAGTACTCTTTTTCACACCACATACAATGAAGCTTTTTTTCTGGAAATGTTTTGGCTCCAGGATGGAGTTTCTTGTCAAGATCGGTGATCCAAAAAGATGCACCCAGCAATCCTGGCTGGCTTAGTGCTTATGACCCTCAGTTGGGGGCGGAAATTCTGGGGCTCAGTTCTTTGAAATAGGCAAAGTGGCAACTACAGCCTCCTGTTTCCTGTCCTGTGTGACCACTGATAGGATATTCCTTCTTGCTAAAAAATGTTGATGTGGTTAGCTTTCATATCTAAAATAAGCATTTTCCAAGTAGTGCCACATCATGATTTTACATGAACATGAAAGAGGTACATTTGTAGTGTAGGGCATTAAATTATAATGAGAAAGTGGACTCAGAATAAATCACCCATGAAACACAAGGTTTAAAAACAAAACAAAACAAAATAAACCCCCAAAACTCCCGACTCTGTAGATGTTCCTTGCAATGTTAACAATCACTTTTCTTATGTTAAGGTGTTACATTACCCTAACCCAGTCTCTCCACCTAACAATGAGTGGTGCTCCTGCAGGACCAGCCAGCACAGGTAAAACAGAGACCACCAAAAATCTAGGCTGTGCCCTTGGTATGATGGTGTACATCTTCAACTGTTCTGAGCAGATGGATTACAAGGTGAGATGTTCTGCTAAGCGGTATGGAAATGGTTATTTAGTTTCTTTTTCATATGAAGTATATTGGAAATTGTTGCTTCCAAGAAAAAGATGTTAAATCTTTCACTTTTGATTTTAGTCTATAGGGAATATCTATAAAGGTTTGGTCCAGACAGGAGCTTGGGGATGCTTTGATGAATTCAATCGCATCTCGGTAGAAGTTCTGTCGGTGGTGGCAGTACAAGTAAAGACTATCCATGATGCAATTAGGAACAAGAAAAAGAAATGAGTATTTTAGCAGTGCTTCTTTATTGTCCTTTTCAGGCTATAAATACTGAACCAGTAATATCTTCTTCTGAAGTTCCTCTAAAACCCTTTGTAAATGCAGTGAGGGAGTAGATTGTAACACTAAATCACCCGTGTAATATACTACCTTAAAATAACTTTCTCTTCAAAATGTAGCAATAAATGCAAGTGAACTCCTGGCCCTACAGGAATCCAATTAAGGCTTTGCTGTTGAAACCCTGGTCCTGTTCAAGTCCCACCATGTCATATCATTGCATAATACGGGTGAGAAGTTTGGCGGGATTCAACTCTGCAAGACGTCTCAGTGGTTCCAGGGTTTCCCAGTGCTTTTGAGACATGCGTTGTGTTTCCACTGTCCCATGTTCTCCTTCCTCTGCTTCCTTTACTCAGTGCTGTCTCCTGGCCTTTTCAAACCCACCGCATCCCTGCCAGTCTCATTTATTCTACATGTTTCAAAAGATATTTCCTCCTATAGAGGTACTTCAGCCACATGCACTCTTCGTTGCTCTAACAGTCCAGTCTTTTCCTTCCAAATTCAGTGCTGGCCAGAGGAGCCACAGATGACTAAAAGCTGGTGCCTACCAGGGAAATGCCTCTGTTGCTCAGCTCTAATAAACTTTCCTAGGCATTTGCTTCTGGCCGTTGTGAGAGACAGGATCCAGGCTCAGAGGCACCTTTGTCATCTGACCCCTGATGGCTGGCTTTGTACGATGCAGTTGTTTACGTGTAATCCAACTGTAAAATTTTTATGTTATCTTTCTTATAATAGATTTTTATTCCTTGGTGAAAACATTACATTGAAGTCATCGGTTGGAATATTTATTACCATGAACCCAGGATACGCAGGTCGGACAGAACTACCTGAAAACCTCAAAGCTCTGTTCAGGCAAGTATGCTATAGTGTACTTTTATGGTATACTGGTATATCAAGTCTACATTTAGAGTACATATCCCACCTAATGTTACTAGCCTTGGTTTGCAGTGAAGTGCAATTTCTGTTTGCTTCAGAATTTCTGTGAAAAAAATCAGTATTCACGTTGTGCTTGCCTGGACACTGTTATGACAAGGGAAATTAAATTTATATCTTGCCTTTTTTTTTTTATCTACTTAAAATTTTAAAGGTACCTGTGAACACATGGGATGCACCTAAACATATGCAAGAATATTCTCTGTTTTGTGGTAAACAGGAATCCTCAGAGCTGGCTTAACCTAGTAAAATGAGCATTTGAAAAGTCTAGCTATCACATTCTTCCATGGGTGTAGGCATGCAAGTGTTCATAGGTGTTTCATAACTACAAGTTGAAAATGAAGCTGCATACTCTTACCTAGTAAGATATTGAATATGTGATTGTTGAGAAGCTGTGAAAAGTATAGCGCACAGCAAAAAATTCATATGCTTTTGGACACTGTAGGACAGCCCATTATCCTTTTCTTAAAGTACATATTTATGCTCTATATCTTAACACTGATCTTTCAAGGAAGAAAGTTTTGAGTTTAAAAGATCCGACTGTATTTTGTGGGCTGCGCTCGGTGAGTTTGTATCAAAATGGTGTTTTTGAGAGTAAATTAATTCCACAAGCAGTTGCTCCGGTGTGGTGGGCAGTAAAATGATGCCAATCTATTCTGACAAAGTGTTGGAGCTGCGCTTTGAACTACGTGGTAATGGACTTTGACTTAAATGGTGCAGGGCTTGCTTAAAAAAGAGTTGTCACTTGAAATCCTTGCTCTTGCATTAACATTTTTCACTGATTTAATCATGACTTGAGGAAAAAAAAAAGATTCTGTGATTTCGTTTCTCAACATATTGAAGTTCAATGGGGCAAGCTGCGAGGCACTGCCAGGCTGTCTGGGGAGGCACAAGTATAGATGTGCTATCTGGGATCTGCTTCGCTGAGCAGTAAGTCCCTTTGATTTTTGAAAGATAGAAACTTAGGGCAGAACCAGGCATCACTGTTGCCTCTGTGAGCAAATTGAAACACAGGTACGACTTTCTTCTGTATTAAAAGTACATCAAGATTCTGGCGTATTTTATTATTTCTGCTGAATTCCTGACACCATACTCTTTCATGCTTTCACTGCAGAAAGACACAAAGTCTGCTAAAATTAGAAAGACGTTTGCTCAGGCACATCTCATCCTCTTGCCAACCAGACATCCTGCTTCAGATGGCAGGACCGGGCAGCAGCAGCAATTAGCTTTCTTGTTCTTTAAGCCTAAATTACAATCACTTGGAACAATCAGTAAGTAACATTTATTTACAAGGAGGAGGTTAGGATTTGAATTCATGTGCCTCTGCAAAGACTGTCGCTGAATAAGACCCTATAGTTGGGTCTTAGCAAACATTGGAGAGAGACCACGAGAGATGCATCCCGCTTCCCCATAAGTGTTTTTAATATTTCGCAACTTAGCTGTTGCTTTACGAAGCCTTCTCATTAATTGCCATCTAAGAACTCTTCAAGGCAAAGCAGGATTGGTGTGCATCAAAGGAACGATGTTGGGCAGCCCCTCAATTCAGAACCTCGCACAAAGGAGGACAGGGTGGCGGGGACCCCATCCACCCGTGTCTGTGCCGTGCGGCTGCCGCCCTTTCTGCATTCGGACAGAGCCAGCTGCCTTGGCGGCCACATCTTCTGCAGTCAGCTAGATGTGGTATTGGACGAGAGAGCAGGAGGGATCACTTCCTGTTGCTACCAGGTGTTTCGTCTCTCGGTGGACTACCAGAGGACGGAAAATGCATGTGATTTGTTGTTCATTTATTATTTTTGTTGTTCCTTTTTTCATTTGGGAAGAAAAGAGTAAGGGATATGAAGTAATAGTAATTAACAATTTATCTACTGAGAGATAAAGTCAAATTATTGCTTTATTTGATGTGCTTTCTATTACAGTTTTCCTTGGTTTTGTTTTTTTAATTTTCAAAATGTACTTGCTACATAGAGTTGAAGTGTTACTTTTACTTGGTTGTCACATAAAATAAAAAGCCTTTGGAATTAAAGTATGAACTGCTGCATTTGGGACTCAGGAATTCAAGCCTGTAGCTGATGTCTGTAATAGCTCTTATCCATTGTACAGTGCACAGGAAAGGTGGGAGGTAACTGGTGAAGCATTAACTCCTCATATTTGGTGCCTAATAAAATCTCACAAGGGAGAGAAGTTCTACTAAATACTACTACCCTCATCTTTCTTGTGCAAGCAGTTATTCTATTTGCAAGAAGGGTGTTGGTTATGGTAGGTAGAAGAGCATTTTTTTTTATAATTGACTGCAATGCATATAGCAGCCCTTGTTTGGGCTTATGAAAGAATGCTTCTTAGGGAGTAGTTTACTTAAAAATTGCTTAACAGAGGGGTGCTTACTCTTTTTGTAGACTACATGTTATTGATTTCTGTCAGAAATATACTGCTGGACTAAACCACTGGTCTTAATTTGTCATATTCAAATATGAATGGGGAACAAAAGAAATCTTTGTATTTGTCAGTAGTAAGAAAAGTGCTCTGAGGGACAAATTTGCTGGTTTGTAGCTGACCTGAACACAAAATTCAAGATCTCTTCTCTGCTACTATGTAAATTAAGTAGTGATTTTTAATGAGGAAGTTGTTTAACCTTTGCATCATTGCTTTGTGTTACTTTTTTAATTGGAGATTTTTCTCATTTATATCATTAAAATGGCTGTGTTTTTGTTCTAAAAGTTTGAACTAAAGGTTATATTTAAAAAAGAAACAAACAGTGAAACTTCCAAAGGCGACCATAACTTCATATAAAAGCATTAAAGCCCTCCAAAAATCGAAGTCCTTTAAAAAATGATGGCATTTTTAGCAACGGCAGGGTGTTGCACTTGACTTCCAGACCCTGTACAGCTGCTGGCAGTGTCCTCCAGTCGTCGGTGGCAAGTGATGCTGCTGCAGACTGCCTGCTCCAAGTTTCAGTAGTACCTGTCTCGCAAGCCCTGGTTTCTCAGCTGCCTCTTTTGTGTACAGCAATGTTACTGAATACTAACAATCAACAGTGCCTAATTAGCTGCTTTTACTTTGAAGTAAGGTCCTCGTTAGCTTTGACTGACACTCTTAATTGTGACTCTCCCAAGTAAGGTCCTCGTTAGCTTTGACTGACAGTCTTAATTGTGACTCTCCTGAGCTCTGTTTTTAAAAATGTTTGCAGACATCGGTCATTTAAGTGACTTATTCTTACCATGTTTAAATACTAATCTGTGTATTTGGATTACGGGGTTTGTTTTCTTCCTTAGACCCTGTGCCGTGGTCATCCCTGACATTGAACCGATCTCTGAAATTACGTTGGTTGCTGGAGGCTTTATTGATGCACGTCTGGTAGCCAGGAATTTTATTACCTTGTATGCTCTCTGCAGGGAGCTGCTTTCTAAACAGGTGAGGGTCTCTTTGGGCTTCTGGGTTTGATACGTGTTAATTAACACACACTCCACGCCTGTGCGGCTGGACTTTGTATAATAATAGGGTTTTTTTAATGTATATAGTCTTACCTTTTATTTTGAAGACACTTTAAATCACACGTCCATCCTTATTAAATTGTCAGATATGAGTTTAGAAGAAAGTGCCCTTTGCTCTGATCTTGGGACGTTTGTAATGCATTAATTTTGCATTAAATAATTGTATATCACTGCTTCATACCTGGGATGGCTGAACTACATCGTGCTGTTGTGTAATACCTATATTAGAAATATAACTATCTGTTGGAGAAGAGAAAAACTGTATAGCAGAGTAGGAATTATTCAGAAAAACAAATAATGTATTCTATTTGGATGAATGTTTCTTTAAACTTTCCCCAGTAAATACACTGGAGAACTGTTTGAAAAATGAAAATAAAGCATTGCTAAATAATTTAATTATTATACTAGAAAGCATTCATATTCAGAATAATTATCTTAAAAGTCTACAACTTGTAAAATTTGGAAGGTTTATCACTTCTTCCCTATGTGTATGCTGTTTACTCATTTCCAACTATATACTTTTTCATAAGACATTCTTAATATTCAGTTTTATTAGTGGAATAAGAACTCAGAGAACCCTTCAACCTTAAGCCATAATCTCTAGCAAGCAGGGCCATTATGAAAGCAAAAGCAACTTTATTTTCATGCCTGCATAATTTTGAAATTATCTCTAAATATCCTGAAGTTTTCCTGACACATTCTTGCAATGTTTCTAGAGATAATGAATTTAAACCTTGCATATCTTAAGATATCAATATTGTCTGCTTTACTAGAACAGGGATTCGTCAACTCTAATGATTACTTTGTCCTGAAGTCATTTTCTGAATTCAGAAAAATCATTTATACCATTGTTTGCCACTTCAATATTAACAGTAGTAGTAATAATAATACTAACATTTGAAGCCAAAGCTAGAATGTTCTTATTTGTTTACTTTTTAAACCTTATTTGTTTTAATTTTAATGGAAATGGGAGAAATCAAATCCCTTTGACAAAAATTCTGGGCTGCTGCAGAAAATATACAGCAGTTCAGAGAGGCCTGAAAATACTGGTCCAGTGTTGGGGCTTTTAGGACTTTCAATATAGCTTTGGGGCACCAGGATCCTAGCCTATGAAAACTGCTTGAGAACAGGGTTGTCAGGGCTTTCAGTGCATATGCTGTGAAGGAAGGGACTTCTGGTCCTGTCATGCCATGACAAATAGCCTGGATGTCCTAAAGTCCTTGTACACTGGGCAATCCACACAGCAGGCTGCTAAAGATGCATAGCTTGCTCTTTAACAACCCGTCAGACAGCAAACCAACAAAAAATTGGGGGGGAAAAAAAAAATCTTACTGAAATCTCAGCAAAAGCTCATTAAGCCCAGTATATTCCTAAATTTCCTATTTTCCTAACCAGCTCTGTGTTTAACTTCTTTGCCTAGGTGTACCATTTATACAATGTGGAGCCTCATTTTCATTGCGGATACTCAGCATCTTTAGTACCTCAGAAAAAAACGGCAGTTCTTTTTACTGATGATGAACTGTTCTGAAGTTGAAAATTACTTTTTTTTTTTTCCTTCTTTGTGATATATTTAGTGCGTTTGATTCACAGTTATAGAGTGCCACTATCACGGAAGAGGATAGTGACATCTGTCAACTTTAAAAATTGTATATTGTTAAGTTGTGGCTTTGCTACTGGGTTTGGTTTTTTCCCTTTTTTTCTTTTGTCTTTCTTTTGGTTTGGGTGATAATACTAACTAGGCTGTATTTATATTGAAGTCCTTGGTGTGGTTGCAGCAAATGTTCTCATACCCTACCTGACTGGTAGCCAGTTTGGGTGCTGACAGCGGGGTAGTTCCAACCCCAGATAGATTTTTTTTTTTTTAAATTGAGGGAGAGGTAGTGTGCACACACTAAGGAAACTGTAGACCACCAGAAATGGCGTGATGCATGCTGACATAAATGGTGGCTGTGAAACTCTTGGCTGCAGCAGCACAGAGGTTAGAGAGGAGCTGATTATCCACGTCCTCAGCCAGCCGCTCATAAAGTAGCTGGTCCCACTGCTGGTTATACCAAAATTAACCATCTGGGATCTCTACATGAGCTACAAAAACACCTTTAAGTGTAGGTGTAGCCTTAAATTTAGAGAGCTGTAACTTCATGGTAGACCTCTTCAAATTGCAAAATTGGCTATTGGGGTACTTTCTTCAATCATGCAAGGTGCTGTTCCAATTGTTTAAATCTCCAAAATGGTTCAAACTCTGTCTCTTTCTACTCCTACGTAACCTAGGAAGGAGAGGGAAAGAGGTGGGTGTTACACAGCCATGGAAAAAGGAGAAAGAGGGATTGAAGAGCCTATGTGTGATGGAAAAAGTTGTCTCTTCTGCAGTGAATATCCACCTTCCCACTGGCAGGGCTTAGGGAAGGATATAGGATTTTTGTCTGCCCTTCACTTACCAAATGTTTCTAGGCTTTTCCTCTAGGCTGAGTACCTATCTTTTTCTCTTTTCCTTTCATTTTGGTGTTGGAGCTGGTTGCAAAATATGTTGATAGTCTGTCCAGTCTTCTCTTTTGGAAATAGAAAAGTATTGCTAACATCAGGTCAAATTAATAGAAGCTTGGCAGCAATTTTTTGCTTGCCTTGTTTCATCATGGAGGTATAGTTGCAGTGAATACAATAATACTTGATGGTGCAAATTTCGCCATTTAAAAATAGGGAACAAAGTGGTGGAATACTAAAAATTAAATAGATATACACATTTCACCCTTTTTAGTTTTTTCTTTACTAGACTTCCAACAATGGCCTAACGCTACTGCAAGGCTACAAGGGAATAAAAAGGTGTCATTTTACTCTGTGTGTAAACCAATTGTTTTCTCCATAAACACTACCATTTAGTTTCATTTCCTGTGCTAACACGACTAGTTCAAATGTTTTCACAGGACCATTATGACTGGGGACTTTGTGCTATCAAGTCAGTTTTGGTAGTTGCTGCCTCTCTGAAACGAGGAGACAAGAACAGACCTGAGGATCAGGTAAAATCTTCACTTAAAAGCATCTAAGAAGAGTAGGAGCTGTTTCTGGTGTTTTGCCTTTGAATAAAAACAGAACCCTAAAAAGAGAAGGATTTAATGCTCTTGTGATATGTGGTTTACTATCCTTTTCCAGGTGCTTATGTGAGCCTTAAGAGACTTCAGTTTGCCTAAAATAGTGACAGATGATATCCCAATTTTCATGGGCCTGATCAGTGACCTGTTTCCAGCTCTGGATGTTCTGAGGAAGAAGAACCTGCAATTTGAACAGATGGTTAAACAATCTACCCTGGAGCTTCACTTGCAGCCTGAAGAGAGCTTTATTCTCAAAGTAAAAGAATTTATTGCCTTTAATTACTCCCCTTAAGAGTTTCAATCAAAATAATTGCAAATGGGTTGTGTTAGACATGAAGGTTATTTTTGAGTATGTTACAGTATTGATAAGGTGTCCTCAATGTCTCGGTATTTCAAAGGCATTTTGTCGTGGCAGTAATGCTCCTCAGTATGATAAATATGTCCATAAGAAAATGCGTATCCTGTTCAAAAAAGCTGTCTACAGTGACAAACATGTATGTTTGTGTACAGTACCAAGCATTTGTACTCGGTAGCAAATTAATTGTTGGTGATTATTTATAGGGAGGAAAGAAGAGTAAGGGAGCAAAAACATATAAATAAGAAGGCATGGATTTGGAATGTGCATGGCTACACGTGACTTCTGTGTGTTCTGGTATTTCCGTATAATATAATGCACATTGTGCTATACACATTAAAAACATGCACGTATATGTATGTATGCATGTGTATACTCATAAGCATTAGTTGTCTATAAGCTAAATTTAAACACTGAGTTTGAATTACAGACAGGGTGAAATGGTGAAACTTAGAAACACTGGTCAGTATACGGATCAAATAAAAAGTGTGCCTATTTGGACTACTAAGAAAGTATATTCCCACCCTCCTTCAAGGAACATCCACATCTGCTGTATGTGATACACTCCTTGCCTTTATTAGGGTATATTGGAAACTGAAATAACCAAGCTGGTTAAATGTGACTGATCTCAGGATTTATAAAGGATTTTCTGCCCTTGTCTATCTTGTTCCATTATCCTGACAGAAGGGTGAAAGACAGTAAGCTATACCTTGGGGTATTATGAACTTTGCAATCAGCCTTCTATAGAGTATTTTGATTCGTGCTGACTGGGTGAATCGGAAGACGAGCACTGAGGAAGCACTAGGACAGAAATCCATGAGCAGCCAAGCTATTTTCATTCTGTGGCTCACGGAACTGTTTCTTTGGAAGAAATGTATTACTTTAGTGGACCGATTCTTGTATTTTACCAAATTACAGCTGCACAACTGTTTTGAGTGTGGAATTCACTGCTAAAGTGATGGCAAAATTGTGATAACTGTTCTGTATCCCTGGGTTGGCACAATCCAACTGGACTCTATGGCTGTCTAGCAGAATAGGATTTGTTCACACTTTTTGAGGTAACTGTATTCACTAATTTAGGCCAATTCTCTTCCCATTTTCTGGGAGACAAACAATGTTGCTTGATGCAACATCAGCTCAGATGAGGCAAATCTGCCAGGAAGGTGCAAGTTCATTTTTTCCTATTAAAGGGAATAGGAATGTGGAGGGGGAGATAATTTTTGTGAATAATTGAGTCCCTGTAATAAGAAGGACAGCAGGAGAGGAAAGGCGCTCACTGTGTATCTCTTCTGTGTGGTAGGTTGTTCAGCTGGAGGAGCTACTGGCAGTGTGTCACTCTGTGTTTGTCGTTGGAAATGCAGGGACTGGAAAGAGTAAGGTACCTGCCTACCTACGCAGCATGTTTTCTATCTTACATTGTAAAGAAATTGTCACGGTTCTTGTAGTAAACATTCTGCATGTCGCCTTTGCTGCAGTGTAATAACACACTGTTCAGGCCATCCAGTCAGCCACATGATGTGTAATGGCAAAGCTCAAATGTTACAAGCAAATTCTACATTTTATGTGTTGTTTGGATGTCCCAAAGGAAAATTAATTGCGGCACCAAGTAATGAGCATTCAATTTGACAGATAGACTAAGTAATACTTTGTTCTGGAAGGAGAAGCAGGATGGTTTAATTAGCCTTCTAGACAGAAATAGTGGAATATATTGCCAAAACTCTAGACAAGTACTTCTAATAGATAATGCTTGCCCATTTCTGCTACTAAATGTTGGCAACTGCGTGGATTTTTTTACCCCATTTAACACTCTCTATTAGAATCAACTGCAGAGTACAGCTGTTTCAGAATGGGAGTTTCCTTTCCTATCCTTAGGCTTAATGGAAATTTGGGACTAAACTAGCACAGAGGTGTGAGTAAATCAAGGTGAACAGCTGCTTGACTGCAGGGATTTGCAGTTAGAGACTGGGTTCAGGAAGAAAGTCAAAGATTCCTATTGTATCAAAATCGTGTCACTAACGTGCAGCCTGTTCCTCCTCTTCAGGTGCTGAAAGTTCTGCGTCACATGTACATGAACATGAAACAAAAGCCTGTTTGGAATCACCTTCACCCCAAAATTCTGGCAGCTGATGAACTGTTTGGTTTTATACACCGTGCAACCCGAGAATGGAAAGATGGCGAGTAGCACATGTGTTCTTACTAGGACCTGTTCCTGGAGGCGTGGTTCTCCATCAGAAATGGACAATGCCAGAATTCAGAGAAGGTGTTAGAGACCAAATTCTTGCATTTTTCTGTGTTTTGATGCAATAGGATGTGGGTGCAGGGCACTGGTGGTTGTGGAAAGACTGGAGGCAGGGCAGGATCCTAGTAGACAGAAAAGTACTAGCCCGAACGATGCTAATTCAGCTGCCTTAAAGGGCAAGTTATTTTCTCCCCAGACCCATGAAACCTCCCATATCTCACCCATATCATTAAGACTAGTGACATACTCTTCTGTAATCAAAACAGAAATAGGTCATTATTACATAAAATGCAGTCATTTTGCTGTATCAGGTGTTCACTGAAAATACTGTTTTATTTTACTTTGAATAACCACCTAATAAGCAAGCAAAGGAAAATTTTGATGCTACAAAAGCTTCTTGTTTCAGTGATGCGTTAAGTCTTCTGAAGTTTTAATTGCTGTGCAGTGTAGTTATTTAAGCTCTAAAGTGATGGGGTTCTATTGAAATATAATTTGCAGGTCTCCTGTCATCTCCTCTGAGAGAGCAAGCTAATATTACCCGTGAGGGGCCAAAATGGTTAGTTTTAGGTGGGGATATAGATCCTATGTGGATTGAGTCGCTCAACACTGTTATGGATGATAACAAGGTGAGTAATTGAGAAGTAAGCACAGTGGCTTCCTCTCTACCTGTTTTCACATTGTCCTCTTCCTTTATTTTTCTGGAGATAGTTTTGCAGTGTACATTCCTCCCCCCCCCCACTCCCCCTTATAATTTCTTTGGTTTTCACTATTGCTAAGTAGTATTTTAGCATCTGATTAACACATTATGTCTTGTCTATTTTGTACAACAAAAAGACTTAAAGTAGCTTACATATACTGTAAGGGTGATTGTGCCTCCTAGTGTATGAGTTGATGTAATTCAAGATGTCAATCACAAGATTATTGAAACTGCTATTTGGAAAGCCTCTCAGTAAAATAGATTTAAGATTCCATGAGTGAAGTCCTTGCATGACTGTACTAAGGAAGGCTAGTGTTAGGAAATCTAAATAAGTCAATTTAAGAACTAGCAGTAGTATCCAGACTTCTAATCCCCTTATTAATTATACAGCGAAAGCAATTTTGTTGGCTGTCTGAAATGCTGTAATGTAATGAAATCCAAATCTAAAGTCTGAATGTAACCTTAGGAAGGTGATTGTAGTTTAGCCCATTCTCTTAAGCTTTCCTGTCTTAAGAACTTAAACCTATCTAGTGACATGGTCTCTGGTTACTCAGCAAGGTGTCTGTCTGGGGCTAGCCACATAGCCTAACTTTAGCTGCTGAACAGAAAGTAGCTTTTCCAAGGGACATTTCGGAGCACCTAAGTTTAGGCTCCTGCTCTGAATAATTTTCTGTTTATTTTCATTGACATTGAGAGAGACTTTGCCTCCCCTGCTTTTAGCAGCTTTCAGGAGTACTCACATTGGTGAAGCAGGCTAGTCATCTTTTGAATGAATTAAACTGTGAAAAACTCATACAAGATCACGTAAAACCTTTTGAATTTGTCCTCCTCTGTTTCTGAAGTAAAAAACTATAGCCATGTTTGGATAAAGTTTGTTTAGCTACCTTCAAGAAATAGTGTATGTGCATGGTGTTGCAGATAATCCTTGCTCCTTTGTGGGGCTATAATAAACATGATTGCCCTGATCATGTTCTTGTTAGACAGTGTATCTTAGCTTGCTTTTGCTGAAAAATTTACTGATGATTTCTAGGTTCTGACCCTTACAAGCAATGAACGTGTGCCTATGACTCCGTCAATGCGGCTGCTATTTGAGGTACGCCATTTAAGAGCTGCTACCCCAGCTACAGTATCCAGAGCTGGTATTCTCTATCTGAACACCCAGGACGTGGGGTGGAATCTGTGAGTATCTGATGATATTAGTTAGCATTTTTAGGATACATCTCAAAGATTAATAGGAATAGACTCCATTACTTATATTAATTCTTCCATCCCACTATTATCAGAATAAAAACTGGAAGATTTAGTTGGTGGCCATGTATATTCTCAAATACGCAGTTCAGAAAATTTCACCATCAGTTAAGTGTTTTATTTTCCCCTCTTATGTGTACTGCTTAATCAAAGAAGTAGTGTGGTGGATTGACCCTGGCTGGACATCAGGTGCCCACCAAGCCGCTCTATCACCCCCCTCCTCAACTGGACAGAGGGAGAAAAATATGACAAAAGGCTCATGGGTCAAGATAAGGACAGGGAGATCACTCAGCAACTAGTGTCACAGGCAAAAGAGACTCGACTCAGGGAAATTAATTTAATTTATTACCAATCAAAAAGAGAGTAGGGTAATAAGAAATAAAACCAAATCTAAAAACACCTTCCCCCCACCCCTCCCTTCTTCCTGGGCTCCCAATTTTCTCTACCTCTTGCCCCCGAGCGGCGCAGGGGGACGGGGAATAGGGGTTGCGGTCAGTTCATCAAACGTTGTCTCTGCCGCTTCTTTCTCCTCACACTCTTCCCTTGCTCTAGCATGGGGTCCCTCCCACGGGAGACAGTCCTCCACAAACTTCTCCAACGTGGGTCCTTTCCACAGGCTGCAGTTCTTCACAGACTGCTCCAGCGTGGGTCGCTTCCATGGGGTGCAGTCCTTCAGGAACAGACTGCTCCAGCGTGGGTCCCTTGTGGGGTCACAGGTCCTGCCAGCAAACCTCCTCCAGCATGGGCTCCTCTCTCCACGGGGCCACAGGTCCTGCCAGCAGCCTGCTCCAGCACGGGCTTCCCACAGGGTCACAGCCTCCTTTGGGCATCCACCTGCTC